GTGGGTGAACAACATTAAATTGTGAATTGTCATCATCTACAAAGGACTGAATTCATACACAGGAAACATTTTGACATGGTTGTTCTGTAGAACGTTTTCCTTTAATTTCTTCTCTTTTCTTAACATGCCAGGGCATTTAATTGATCACACTGAGTCATGGATAAAATGGGTGCATGTTGCAAATGTAATATCTTGTACCTTATTAATTAGCTGAGCCGCATTATTAAATTCATTTAATGAATTTAAAAAAAACACCTTTCTAATTTTCAATTTAAGTGTCTTGATGGCATTTTTATTGCCATGATAATGGATTGTATCGTAGTCAAATTGAGGAGCAAATCAGATCTATTATTGAAATTGGGGTCCCGAATAGTCTTCCATCCAAACAGTAATCCGGTCTGAATCTGCTTTGTTGTTTGAGACCTCACAAGATCAGCTTTGGATCTCATCCAGTGAAACTTCATCCTGGAATGTCATGGAGCTTCAGGGTTCCTGGGTAGAAGTACAGTTGGCAGCAGATGTGCCAACAAAATAATGTGTGACATAGTTTTTTTTACTTGGGGTAATTGATATGTGGTTAAACATTGGCAGGAATATAATTTATGCCTGCCAATTGGAACAAAAAGTCTGCAGAAACCCTTTTATTCTCTGTAGAATGGACTTTTTTTTCTTTTCTTTTTTTTGGAGATAGCTGCAAATTGGGAAAAGGAGATGCACATATGAAGAACGGTTGCAGCAACTGGGTATGGCCTAGCCTAGTGAAAAGAAGGACCAGGGAGTGACCTGATAGCAATGTTCCAATATTTGAGGGGCTGCCACTGAAAAGAAGGGATCAACCTCTTCTCCAAAGCACCTGAGGGAAGGACAAGGAGCAATTGGTGGAACCAAATCAAGGAGAGAAGCAACCTAGAACTAAGTGGATCAATCAACCAGTGGAACAAATTGCCTCCAGAAGTTGTAAATGCTCCAACACTGGGAGTTTTAAAGAGGAGATTAGATAGCCATTTGTCTGAAGGGGGTTGGATTAGGAGACCTTTGTTATTCTATTCTCTACCCCACAAGGGATTATGGTGTCATTAAAAGAAGATGATGAAATATTGTACAGGTAGTCCTCAATTTACAACCATTAATATAGTGACCATTTGAAGTTACATCCGCAGTGAAAAAAAAGTGACTTATCACTGGTTTTCACACTTATGACTGCTGCACCATCCCCATAATCATGTGACCAAAATTCAGTCTGTCTCACTTAGCAACCAAAAATTTGGGCACCATTGTGGTCTTCAGCCGAGGACTACCTGTAATAGGCAAGGGGCAATAGGCCTGTTTCTCTTGCGCTCCTAGAATTGCCTGATAACAGTTGAATATAGGAGGGGCAGCTAAACAGTTTAGGGAAGAGAGGAACTCAGATACACAGGCACACATTTATTCAATCAACACTCAGAACAATAAAAGAGTTGGACAGCAAAATTACATTAACAGTAATATAGCGTAATAAAACCTTTTTAAAAATGTATGTAAAATTCCAGTGATATAGCTTATAACATAACATACCCCAGGCATGACATTTATTCTTCCTTACCACAGATGTCATTCAGTAGAATTTTATTTTAATAGCTGCAATACAAAATTTAACTATATTATATGGAACATTAGGCTTCTCTTCTGATAACGGGAAAACAAGATTAAAAACTTATCAGATTGTCCTAGCATCTGTTCCAATGAGAGAAGGATGAGGGGTTGATGGCTACCTTGAGAAACTCCTGTTATATGGTGGCTCGTGGAAAATTCTGCCCTGAAGAAATATAGCTGTGATAAATATTAAGTTAGAGTCTTGGTTAGAGTCTAGGGTTAGAAGAAGGAGCATTAAATTAATCTTCTTAGCCAGGAAGAAGTTTAGTAAGAAAGGTTATGGAGCTGTTGTGCAGTTGTCTATGGTGGTTTTTCAACTCTGAAACCTAACAGTTAAGTAAAGTTAGGGACCTCTTCTCATGAAGACTTGGTGAATGGCATGCGGGATCTTCATGATCCTCCACTTAATCATCTTGAAAAGCTAATCCAAAGAGGCAGATATAAATGTGGGTAACCTCTAACTTGTTGTCATCCTTTTTTTTTAATGACATAATGCATCTGCACAAAACAACTCAGCTAGACAGTCAATTCATTCTTCCCCGCTTCATTAATGACTCATCTTAAACAACTTACCCACTTCCAAAGCTAATGAATTGTGCATGTATTTTAATTATACAACATCAGGTAACAAACTGTGAACATGATGGGTCCAGGAAAGGTGACCTACTTGTTCTCTCCAAGGCTTCACTTACACAATTCAACACAACAACACTTATAGCCTAGTAAGATTTTCCCAAAACTAGTTCCTATCTCAGATTAAGGTCTTCGTGTAGTTCATATGATGAAAACAGGCTTTAATGTTTCCAGCCAAAATTCCAGTTTCTCATTTGCTTTTGTAGATCTTTTCTTGTATACTTGCCCATGAAGCTACTGGGTGATTTTTAGAAGTTTAGGGCTTCTGTTCCCATATGCTCTAGTCAATCAGAGTAACAACCAGCCTTCATAGGATACTTGTTGTCTAGTAAAAGAAAGTCACAATTGTATAAGAAGATAAACTGAAAGCTAGACAATCTTGTTCATTTCAAGACAGCAAAGGACGGTCATATCAATCCTGATTTTTGCATTAAGTTTAGTTCACAAAAACGTAATGCAGGAGATAACAGAGATATAAAATGAGGCCATAAATTAATGCAAGATTCTTTTTGTGTGTGGAAAAGCCCTTGGATGAAACTATAAGAAAATAGTGCAAGAATGTATGTTTGTCTGATTGAATGGGAAATATGGATACAGCCAATACTTAAACTATTTTCTCAACGTAAATGTACCATTTGCTTTCAGCCTGAATTTTCAGGTTTTCTGATTCATGACATGTGCATGCATCATCTGATTTTTCTGCGGATGATCCTTGAAATGTACAGTGCTTTTGTGAATCCTAATATTTCTTCTGCAGTGTTAACTTGGAGAAATCTATCTGGTTTTGTATATGCAAAATGCAAGCAATTGCTATGAATTTTAGCAGGTAACTTTACCTGCTCTGGACACGTATCAAAAGTACTGTTTGCATTTCTGAACGTGTGGATGAGAAATATTCCTAGCTGGTTTTTCAAAGTTTTAAAATAGATGGAAAAATGGTTATGGGATCACAGCCTTGTTTTGAAGCATTGTATTCAGATGAAGTGATTCGGTGGCTATTGGCTTCTCTTCATTCATAAATTATGGCTGCATCGGAGATATTTTTAAATATATGTGTAGAAAAATGAGTGTGTCAGTTGTTTATACATTTGGAAAGGTGCATATTTTACAGGAGTTAAAAATCAGACTTTTGCCAAATATCTCCACACAATGAAGAATGGGACTTATGAATTTCTGCTCATAAGAGTTCAACACTTGCTTCGTTCTTTCTTACTAAAATGAATGAGCCTGAAAAATAATTTTAGTTCACTCATGTCCCTTTGCATTATTCATCTTGACTAAGGACAAAACAATCATGGCAGAAAGCTCTTCCATGAATATTTATGTTAAATATTTAATTAAACTATTACTCTTTGCAGATATGTGTCAGTGAAAACAGCCAATCCTCTGTGTATTACTCTGTTTCTACCTTTGGGTTGGCTCTAGAAATGATCAAATACATAGCACATTTCTTTCCAAGTTTCAGTTCAATATTTACCCAGATATTTGTCAATATCTTGAAGTTGTAAGCTTGTGTTCAGCCTTAATGTAATTAATTCTTGCATTTTACGTTAATGTACAACAATATAATCCAGAGGAATGGGAAGACCAGTCAGAAGAGAAAGGCTTTGATTAAAATATTAAAATACAGTGGGAAATTATTGACTCACTTCTAGTTAAGTGTCTCAGCTGCATATTAATTGTCCAGTCATCTGGATAACCATGTTTACCATAGAGATTGCTTTAAATCAGGGGTATCCAACCTTGGCAACTTTAAGCATGGAGGACTTCAACTCCCAGAATTCTGGGAGTTGAAGTCCTTCAGGCTTAAATTTGCCAAGGTTGGAGACCACTGCTTTAAATAATACTTATTTTAAAAAAACAAACAATTGCTAGGAAAGTGATATCCTGTGCATTAGACTACATCTAAGACTACAGAAAGCTTTAATAGAATTGGCTGGTTTCCAATTCTATCAAACTGAAGGAATTTCTTTTGAGTTGGCTTTTATTCCTTTTTTTTCTTCTTCAATGCTGTAAAGTTTCAAGATATGATATTGCTTCTTGGCTTGGAACTGAGAGAAACAATATGGAGGCTAAAAGTAATTGCATAGCTAAAGGACAAAACAAACTCCTGAAGCACAATAACAATTGTGTTCATGAAAGAAATGTCTGTTACTTATATGGCTTTCTGAAGAAATGGGCAGCTATTGCTTGGGCTGAATACTTTTAATTTTTATAATAACATGCTTCTAGATCCAAGGGAACCATTAAGAGAAACTTTAAGAAGTTTCTTTTTCTTTTTTTTTGTAGAAGCTGTTAAAGTCAAGCTTTTAGGTGGACAGTTAAATATTGGGCCATAGGGACATTGGCCAGCTACTTAAAATAACTTGCCATCTGATCTCAGTTTCTTCTACATGTGCCATGTAAAATGTAAGAATATTTTCATGTGATACAGTACTCCCTGTAGGAAAATAGGTTGGTTAAAAGGGCTGAAGTTCATGCAATAAGCCTTATTATGCATCAAGAGGTCTTTGGAGGATTCACGAAAGCTTTGTATGTTGTGTTGGTCAACAATTCAATGTCGTCCCATGAAACACAAAGCTCCTTAGGGATTTTTAGTCAAAATGAGAAACACGCACTGTTGGCCACACGAGCAAAGTTGACTACATTTATGCTTTTTTAGAAAAGAAACTATCTCTGTAATGCTCAAGAGTTCTATTTAATGTTGCTGTTATTCTCAATTCTGCCGTCCGCAGAGAGCGAAGAGGTTTACCAGCGACAGGTACTGTCCATTTCCTGCATCGTCTTTGGGATCGTCATTGTGGGCACAATCTCTGCAGCCTTCTACTTCAGAACAAAGTAAGGCTCCCTAACCAGTCTCCACCCTTTCCTTCTCACCTGCCAAGACATTGGTGTTTTCCATCCATTAAATAGCTTATTTAGGCTCTTGTTCTTGAAAAAAGACATAGCAAAGGTTTGTTTTATGCAGTTATGTGCTTAGGTCCCACTCTGAATCAATTTGGATCAAGTAAGATGGTTGTCTCCAAATATGCATCTGTGTTTAATGGGACCAGATTTTTTAAATATCAAATTTATATGCCATCCATTTATCCTTCTTACTCTGCAGTGCGACTCTGCATACAGTCAGAATCAACTCCAGGTTTGAATCAATATGGATCAAGTGCCTTGTCCCAGTTGATTCAATGTCTGTGTTAAAGTGGATCTAATTTACACAATTTCATGCAACAAGGTCTTTAGGATTAAAATTGCACCACCAAAATGTAGAAAAACAAGTGAAGGTCTTGGTTAGTTTTTGGTAGCCTTGTTTAGGCCAGACGACTGTAAGAATATGGGGGGAAAGACACTGATCCTTACCTTATTTCCTTATTTTATCGTCTTTCAAAAATAGCCCTGGCTAATATTCTAGAGATAATATTCTCTAGAATATTCTAGAGATAATGGAGGATGATAACAACATGGTTGGAAGTATTCAGCTTTCAGTATCAGTGATAAAATAATTTATTGCAGGAATGGAAGTCTATCACTGTCTGAATAGTTGCTGGGTTACAACTCCCATCAGCCATGTTATCTGAATCTGATGGATGCTTCCAACTCCTAGTTCAGGGGTGTAATTTAAGGCCCACGGGCCAGATCCTGCCTGCGGGGTGCTTAGATCTGGCCCGCAGGGCTGCCCTGCAAACAGCAAAGGACTGGCCCACGGTGCCTCTGCCAGCAAAAATGGAGCTGGTTGTGTTTGTGTGTCTGTGTGTGTGTGTGTGTGCCTCCCCACGCTCCATTTTTATTGGCAGAGGGCTAGCAAAACAAATTAAAAGCAAAACAAAAGAAGAAATTTTTCCCCTTGTTGCATTTGAGCATGCAGGAAGGGACAGGAAAGGAGAAAGGAAGGTGGGGGGAGAAGGAAAGATGGGAAGAGAACAAGGAAGGAAAAATAAGGAAAGAGGGGAAGGAAGAAGAAAGAATGAAATGAAGAGGGAAGGAAAAAGGAGAGAAGGAAGGAAGGAAGGAAGGAAGGAAGGAAGGAAGGAAGGAAGGAAGGAAGGAAGGAAGGAAGGAAGGAAGGAAGGAAGGAAGGAAGGAAGGAGATTATAATGAGAGTGAGGGAGGGTCTGAGGAAAGCCCTGCCTTAGCACTTGGCCACCACAGGTGCCCCCGACATGAGTGATGTTGAGCTTGCCACACCCACCCTGGCCACTCCACCCCAGCCACACACCAACGAGGTCAAACACAACTCTGATGTGGCCCTCAGTGAAATCGAGTTCAACACCCCTGTCCTAGCAGTGTTTATAAAATAACCCATTGGTCTCCTATGAATTATTCGCATATTATACTCAAGTATTATATTTTATTTTTATATTATGGTCCATTGCATAGTCAGCCAGATGTCTGGACTTGGTGTTTTATCCACCTGTCAAATCCTTCCCAAGGACCTGAAATAGGCAGATGTTATCCTTTGTTGGGGTTAAAGATATGGTTACAGGATGTAAGCTCTTCCAGTAAAACTGCCTCTTGCAATTGACGGATGGTGATTTTGTCAATGCCAAGGGCATACAGTTGTCTTGGGATTGCACACAAGGCACCTGTTACTGTTGGTAATATTGGTATCTTTGCTTTCTTTTGCCACAATTTATAGTAGTATTAAAATAATTTGTTTCAGTCAGCCAGGTGTTCAAATCATATTTGGCATTTTTATTCTCCTATTGAGTCTTACTGAAGGATCTGAGATAGACATATGTGGTTGTTTGTTGGTGTTAGAAGTATTATTATACTCTGTGTAGAATGAAATGAGTAAGATTGTAAATACCTGTGAATCTTGTGGCACCATAAGACCTCACGGGAAAGAGCTAAGATTTTCAATAAACAATTATCTCTTGTGAAATTGTTCTTGCTATCAGGAATGTTATGTCCTTTGCAAGAATAAAGGGCTTTGGTATTTTAATGCTACTCCCTCCCTGATCGTGTTTCATTTTCTTCCCTTTGTGGTTTCATTCCTGGAAGCAAAGAGAAATATTTGTTTTCTTCAAAACAAACAAACAAAAAACTGACATTCTTCAGGGGAAGCCAAACAGGTCAATTATCCTGATGCATAATATTGGTGAGTGAGAAAACTCACCGTACTGGGAATTATTCTGAGTTAAATCCCATGGATTTCAGTGGAAAGGACTTTAAAGCATTATTTATTTGCTCCATTATTTTAAATCGGATTCAATCCTTCCACGTATTTTTAAAAATTTATTTTCATTTACTCTGTTTCTTTGTTCCACTTACACACTACTCAATCTATCAAAGACTCACAGTAGTTTGAAGTAATCTGTAAGAAAACTCACTGAAGCTGAGGGAGTCTATCAAAACAATACTAACAAATGGTAGGTAGATGTTAAATGCCATGTTTATCTCTGGAAATGACTGTTGGCCATTTCAGTTGCCCACTCTAAGTGGGGGGGGGGG